ACGTATGCATTCTTTTTTCTTTTCAATTATCAATCGGTAGATCAATCGGTAGACACAAGTACTATACGTTTTGCGTTTACAGATTTTCCGATTTTATTCGATAAAAAGAACACAATCACCTGTTCAATAGCCTGTTCCAAAGGAATTCCATGCTCTCGAAGATTTCTTTCAGTCAACGCCGGAGCATGTGCCAATGCTGCTTCGCTGATGACACCGCTACTTCCGGCAACCGCCGGATTGTCGCTGCCAGTTCCAGGGGTACAACTTTCGTCCATTACCATCGGTCGTATGATAAATTGTTGCCTTCCCATTACCTGTAAAATTCACAAATAAGCACACAGTAAAAACATTTTTCCATTAAAAATTCTAATCAAACGAAAAAGATGTAATAATAATAATAATAATTCGCTAAAAAAATGTAATGGAAAATTTGACATTTCGATAACATGTTTTAAATTCAAAAATATCATCATATCTATCGTTTAATCAAAAATAAAGAATCTATTAGACTGATAAGACAGGCCTAATAATCTTATGTATTTAATATACTCGCCTGTAACTATGCAACTCATCATCCAAACCGAGATGGTTGCATATACATAGGGACATACCAATGAAAACGAGCAACAAAAATTTGTCATCTATCTAATATTTTCACTTTTACAACCAGTTACTTTGTTAATTCATCTCAATCTACGATGTAACCATAACAAATTACAGATATTTATACTAATTATATTATTAACAAATTTCATTGCTCTTTTCGCCATTTTTTATGTAAGTATAAATCTGAATTCTAAATCACTTTCATATCGAAATACATAACGATTATATCTCACGTGAATGTTCACCAAGTAGTTATGTAGAAAAATTTATATTTACACTACGTAAAGAACTTTCTCTAAGGAACAATTTAATAGTTGCCGCAAAAATTACACGCAAATGTCTTTATTATTCGTTTAATAAATTATATTTAATATTATATATATTATATATATTTAATATTATTATATATAATATTAAATATATTATATATATTTATTATATATATAATATATTTAATATTATACATCATATATATTATTGTTTCATAGTCATGTAACGTGTCAATTAGATGCTTTTGAGTATAGTTAATTGATCATTCAGATGGCTCATATATAAAAACTATGTAAAATAATAATATTTTTTTAAACAAATAATCCTTCTTTCAAAAGAAAAATTCTTCTTTTAACCGCTTATGTAAAAGCTTTTAACCGCGTTGTAACGCAGTATACGATTATCTAAATGAGTTTAAAAATGGTATATTATGAGTCTTCATAATTATACCATAAATCATTAATTAATCATTAAACTAGGAATTTAGAGTAATTACTTGTATCACGCAAAGGAACATGAAAGAAGAAAAAAAGAAGAATATTAATAATGTATTATAAACAATTTCAGCATTTCTATTCAGTAAGTCGTTACGCTTTAAAACTTTTACTGCGTTTCGAATATGGATAGAAAGTAACGACCAGTTGGAAAACTTTTTCATCGAAATGGACTGAACATTCTGGACGTTGAATTGGATTTCCTAAGGAAACATTAAACAGTACCGCGTGTATATAATATTGAAATAATCCTCATAATCCTTAATACTGAAATCCTAATTTATACATAGATGTCACGAAGAAAATTAGACGAAAGTATTATGTAACTTTATATCTTTTAATAGGTAAAAACACTTTTTTTTAACAAACAATATATTAGAATGCAATACATTGAAAAATGCTCTTTGGAAGAAAATTTTTAATCATCGATAATCATGTAATTAATAATTTTTAATCGTCGACATTATTTAAAATTTTTTAGCCTCAGTTTCACCGTTGCTAACAAATATACTTTTCTTATCAGATTTTCAATTACCATGCTGCCCGTTTCGAGGACAAGACAAAAAATACCGACTAAAAATATGTCGCAAATTCTGGCAGCGTCGGACGTATTTATCAAAACTCGTAGATAAATACATGTTCGAAGACATCATATGGTACGTCAGTGTTAGTGGAAAGACACGCAAGAAACTTAATAGGCATGTTCTTTGACGTGGGGTTAACGGATCAAGGTAGTTCGATGCCGAGCAAACCATCGTGTTGAATTACCTTCATCGATAAAGCCTCGTGGCGTCATTCACGACGTAAATGAACCAGCATCACATTTACGTAAATGTTAATCATTGGCTGTTAATTATTCAACTTTACCTAATGAGATTTAAAATATCGTGCTCGAGACGTTTGGTGATTTTCTTACATAACTTCAAAATTCTCTTTCCCACAATAATAGATCTTTACTAAATGTGACTGGCATATCATTTTTTTTTTATTAGACCCTGATTTGAGAAAAATTTTTGGGGG